GTTGCCTGGAATATGAAATGATATTGACTTATTGTTCCGTATATCAAGGTATGTAATGTACATTTATATTGAATTTATTCGATTTTTTTCACACGTTGCTTTCACATTTTCTCAGAGTCTCGGAAATCACATTTTCTGATAAACTCAGTTTCACACATACAGCAAGACTTCATTTCACACATACAGAAAGACTTCTTCAGAAATCACAGTTTTTAACATATAGAAAAACTTCATATTATCTCATCAGTTAATCAAATTATGATAACAGTACGTAGTAGGAATGCTTAGAAAGATTTTATTCTGTTTTCCATATAAAGTGTACAACTGTTATTTCAATTTTCTCTTTCCTATATTTTCTTTAAAGCAGGTACTGTTCTGTTACAAAACAACTAATAAACATTTTATTATTTTAACAGGTGAACCATATTTTACATGAACTTGGGGAAAAAAAACAACTTGAATTCCATGGAAATATATATCATCATGTCATCAATCAGATAGTAAACAGTCATTAAGATGGCCTCAAGATTATATTTCACAGTGACCAACATGAAAATTTTTAAATGGGAATTAGTTGATGGCATTATAGTTTTCTAATGCTATATAATTTTGTTCATCAAGGTGAAGAAACCTTAACTCACTATACCTTTTCCTGTTACAGAGCTATGGTAGTAATCTTAGAAGATTTTCATGATCCCTCTATTCAGTAGTTCTTTAACCAGTCTGGTATTATGACTGTATTATGTTAAGTAGCCTTGTGTGACTTTTGTATTTTGTTTCTTTAATAATATTTACAATGATCAAAATTACAGTTTAATCTTTGTATTTCTAATGATAATTACTTGCACATATCCATCACACTTCTCTGTTACTATTAAACTTATTACTATCATGCAAGTAAAATCTCTTGGGAAAAATAAATGTTGTCCCAGGATAGTCATAAATATCAGCTAGTAAAACTAATGAATATACCTATAATCATGTACATATGACTATCATATAATATGTTGTAATTCCTTTAAGTGTTTCCAATTAAACAAATTTCTATTTTCAGTTGTTCATTGTTCAAACTAATTTGAAACCTACAGTATATGTAGTTGCTATGATTCAGATTAATATCCAAAAGTGTGCCTTTTACTTCAGTTAGACTCCTCCCTAATACAGACACTTTATTGTGCCACTCCAATGTTCATTCAAAGTGATCCAACTGACATCTGAGCTGGTGATAATATACAACAAAATATTGGAAGTAGGAGTATATCAGATAAGTTGTTCATTCAGTTGATCATCATATCAAACTCCATCACATATTGTGCCTTAAAAACATATATACAAATTTTAAAAGTTGTTGCATCACACTGGGCCATTCCATCTAATATAGCCCCCCCCCCCCACCCTATTGAGGGGTCTCTTCATAATACCTTTTAATAATTTTGGAACCCCATTGGATGCAATTTTGGAACCCCTATGGATGTCTTTCTACCCCTTTAGGATATTGTTCCTGCCCCTTTGGATATCACTAAAACACCTAATTTTTAGGAAATCTCTTAAGCTACCCTCCACAAATATTTAAGGTAAAACCCCCCTCTATAAAATTCTCATATAGGATATCCAGACCTCAATAGACAATAGGGGGGGGGGCTATTAAATGGAATGGCCTATTTGGAATGGTGAGTGGTGACTACCAAGGAAAATGAAACATGGTGGCCTGCTTTACATACAGAATAAATTTTGAAGCATTTCTACTGTTACTTTAACGATAATCAGATTTGATGAGAAAATATGGAGTCTTTCTGTATGTTAGTGATGTGATCTCATTGTTCATAAAGCTGAAATAGTTCAGTTAAAACTCGTGTGAAAATAAATCCAGTATAAATGTACAGTACGTACCTTGATATACGGAACAATCATTCAATATCGTTTCATATTCCAGGCAACACTATCAGTGTTTATTCAGTCGCATTTGAGGCCGAACAGCATCTGATATATACGAGGGTTGCCAAAGCGAACAAAACAATGTCACAAATATGAGCGCCATACTCCGACAAATTGATACAATATGATGATGAATGTTGCATAGTTTTGTGTACATGTGTGTTCACAGCTTATATCTGAAGTATTTTTCGTAAAAGTTGTTAAAACTTTGAGAATAAATACATAAACACTCAACAAAACATGTATATTTTTAAGCAAGAAAATCGTAAGCGCCAGCGCTAATTGTAGTCAGCAACATAACGTTGTCGTTACTGCGCATGCGATAAATCTCCAAGAATCTTGGAGATTTCATCGTATTTTACCAGGGTCTTCCTCAGCTCACGCGCCACCACGAGGAAGACCCTGGGGACGAGGTTGTTTGCCCACTTCACGAAAGGCCCCGCCATTTTGAAAAGGATCAAGCAGCTCATTAATATTCTATTTTGTGGCTATCGACGATCGGAGATTGGAGAACCATGCCGAAACCTATACTCGTCTGGGGCACAGAGTGCCCCAGCGAGTAATAAGCATATTTGACAATGTTAAAAATTTGCATAAAATTGCCTATCAAATATTATTTGGTTAAACTTGGTTATTTAGTTTTATTGTGGCCAAAACTAGAACGAATGAAAAACATAATTGCTGGATAAACATTAATTCATTCATGCATCATGTCCTCTTGCACGTATACAATGACTCTTGCACGGGAAACCACATGGCGAGAAATAATGGTCACGCACGCGCATTGAGTGCTTGGACTTGGAAAATATTTTGTAAAAATATGGCCGCCGTCACTCTTATGTTTTGTATGGGAGTTAGCGAAAAAATCGCCCTAGCAAAGTGTTCAATCTGTTTTAGTTTGTACTTGTTAAAACCTAATTTCCAAGATATAGTTTAGAATATCTGGACTTACCGCAATTCGGTAGGAATTGTATTGTGAAACAGCACAAATACGTCAAGCAGACCTCAATAAATTCCATTTTCAGACGAAATATTGAACATATGCAAAGTGTTCAATCTGATTTGGCTTGGCAAGACATTGCATTTCTAAGCCCAATTTAGACCAAACCAGCACGATTTATTCCCCCTCAGGCATGTTAATGCCTGGGTCTGCCCACGCTTGGATAATATCTTGCGCGCGTGTTGCACGCGCGATCTGTCAGTAATGCGTCTGTTAGAATATGCGCCCCTTGTGTGAGTATTTTAGTGAATTCTGGCGTTTGCTTCAAATCGAAATATAGTATATATGAGCGACAGGATTATTTTGGAATATACAATGCAAAGAAGTCGGTATAGTATTCAGTTTTTATGTGATAATGGCTATTTGTGTAGCAATAAGTATTGTATCATTTGAGACAGCTGACCTTTGAACTGCTGATAAATAAAAGCTCCTTATAGTGGGCTATCTTGCGATTACTCAGTATTAATTGTTGATTGTTTCTTATTTTCAATGAAAAATTGCTTGTGAATTATAAATTAATTATAGCACGTATAGTTTAGTCGGTCTTTTCCACCATGGCATGCTTCCCTTCAAGCATTAACTATGCTTCAAGATATCGGCTTGAATGCGCAATGAATGTTGTTATTGGAAATATAATATCCCTTACACTAAGCGGCAGACTGTTTCATTATAGCGCGTGAAATTCATCACGCGAAAAACGCGTTCGACTTGCAGCAGGGTAATTTGACGAAATTTTGCTATTTGTATTAGCTTAAAACATTAACAAGGGAACAACGTTTCCTGCGTTAATTTGGAAATCGTACATTTATTTGTAGATAACATTTAATGACGCGATTAACATTCGTTTGATGCCGATCGTCGTAATATAGCCGCATAAACAATGAAACGAAGCCTAAATGTAAACTTTCCAGATTCATTCAATAAACAGTGATATTATGTATGAATGATTATCGCAATTCTGCGTCCTCTCAGTCACGAATTATACTGCTGCAGAGCCTCTGAATAAAACGTATCAATTTTTGTGTTGTTTTTCGAAATATACATCACGTGATCGTTGCCATGACAACGAAAAGTAGGTCAACTTTTAGAATCTCCTTTGATAAATCATATAAAACTTGAATGGTAATAATCAAGATCATACTTATTTTTTATGATTTTTTGTCTATTTTCGCTAAATACACAAACTGAGACCCAGGCATTAACATACCTGAGCCGTTCGGTATAGCCATGTATTTTAGGTGAATTTTCACGTATTTTAGCCTTTGAAATATGACGCCGCACGCAAAATTTGACCAAAATAACAGCAATAAGTTGGTGCTTCTTCTTCGAAATATCTGTTAGGTCGCACCGTTTGCAAGGTCTAACGCCATTGGCTACAGCATGTTAATTGGTGGTCGTGGTGGTCGACGAATCACAGAATCACTTTATTGGCCTTTCTTACTTCCGTTTGAATCTCGCTTCGAGACTGGAGAAAGATCGAGTGCGATGAATAAATTCATGAGTTAAATATATAATATCCGCGGCAATTGCCTGTTTGTAAATATAACAATTGAGTTGCGAAGAATATTTTATGAGTTAAATCGATACAATATCAATTAAATCGATACAAAATCACTTCCCAAAACGAAATTATATTGCTATTGTATTGACACATGATATCAGTATCACTAACAAGTCAAGTGTGTAGTTTCAAGGTGCGATGAATAAATTCATGAGTTAAATATATAAATAATATAATATCCGCGATAATCATGATATAAATATAACAGTTGACTTGCGAAGCATATTTTATGAGTTAAATCGATACAATATCAATAAAATCTATACAAAATCACTTTCCAAAACGAAATTATATTGCTATTGACATGCGATAATGCTAATATACAATCTATGCGCAACAAGGTAATACGGCTTACAAGCGAGGTCTATGCGCAATAACCTGTTGTTCTTCAACATACCCGAACACGAGGAGAATACTGAATACACGGAAATTATACATGATCTCTTAGAGCAAAAGATAGAAATCGTTCAAATCGAAGACGCACGTAAGCATGTCGAGATTGACCGATCTCATCGAATTGGCCGTAAAGGAGAAGGCAAGAGCTGCTTCCCTGAATTGAAGAAGGCAAGAGCTGCGGGAAAACAATCAAGAATTGTTAAGGATAAATTGATTATTGAAGGGCAAGTTTTTAATAATACTAATACACGTTAAGAGGAGATTTTTTACAAAGTCGCGTATTTTTTTCGAAAAGCGCTCAAAACTTAGCGACCAGGCCTTCGCGAAAAAATGCTGCGCCGCCATCTTGGTTTTAAAAGTTTCTCAAAATTTGCGAAGAAATATAACCGAATTTTACTGGATTTTTGGCTGTGTCACGAGGGGTTAGGTTAAAACGCGGAAGCGGATGCGGAACGGAACGGATGCGGAACGGAACGGAACGGATATGGGTTAAAATGCGGAACGGAACGGATATGCGGAACGGAACGGAACGGATATGGGGTTAAAATGCGGAACGGAACGGAAATGCGGAACGGAACGGAACGGATATGGGGTTAAAATGCGGAACGGAACGGATATGGGGTTAAAATGCGGAACGGAACGGATATGCGGAACGGAACGGAACGGATATGGGGTTAAAATGCGGAACGGAACGGAAATGCGGAACGGAACGGAACGGATATGGGGTTAAAATGCGGAACGGAACGGATATGGGGTTAAAATGCGGAACGGAACGGATGGGGTTAAAATGCGGAACGGAACGGATATGGGGTTAAAAAACATCTGGTGGACGGGAAATCTGATTGGTTGATCAGCATCATGGTTATACAGAGTGATGATGCTGAAGAGAATCTAAAGTTGAAGCTCGAAAGCTTGATAAATCGGGACCCGAAAGATGTAAATCCCTCATGCGAAGCATCAACGAAAGAGGTTTGTAGTAGTGTTAATGAGCTGACTGAACCATTTGTATCGCAGTTTGATGGCTTGAAAGCAGATATTGCTACCCTAGTGGACATTACGAGTGATCTAATAACTGAAATTAACTCTATGCGATCTAAACAAAAAGACTTTGAGTCTGTTATTCGCAAGCAAGACAGCGAGATATGTAGACTTAGCGAAGCAAATTTGCTACTTGCGTCAAGCTTGCGGTCTCTTGGGAATTCAACATTCAAAGTAATGAATATCAATCCTATGACCAACAGTCCCACTAATAGTATGAGAAATACCACCTTTAATGACCCTACAACTACTGATAAGGATCCGCTAATTGACCCTAACATATACACCTCCCATACCATTGGACCAACTTTATTCAATGAATTTAATATCTACGACGAGTTTAGGAATATAGCAAGTGACCAGCCTAGCGTTCTAAACTCCGACTTAAATCAGTCAACTGAAGACATTATAAATATATCCCATAATGAAACTGATATACATAATGAGTCAGTTCTTATTGTTAAAGATCAACCTAGCGTCTCGAATACCGATCTCGTAAAAAACTGCACACTAACTGAAGCTACTAATCTAAATAAAGCCAGTAAAACTAAGTCAACAACGGGTAAATTTAATACCAGCACATCTCGATTAGGTAATGGACGTTTTAACCGAATGACACCTAAACGCCCAAAACATTTAACCCCGTGTCCATTCCTGAGGAAAAGAAAATTCTGTAAAAAAGGCAATAATTGTGACTTCCTACATCAGAAACCTCAATTTTATAATAACATCCAACGACCCTCCTATAAGATAATGGACAAAGCTGTCTCCTCACCCAGTTTTCATTACTCCCCTTTTCCTGTGAATCCCTATTATTTCCCTCCATTTCGATCCCCAATATACCACCCCACATCCCAACCTTTTCCATACCCTCCTTCATTGATGTCAGTACAAACAACAGGATATTGAGTACTGATAGACATCCGCGTAATGGTCGTTGTCACCGTGCTCGTACTCATAACCCTTCAAACTGTGTCTGCGTGTCTGTACATAGAACTAACTTAAATTCAGATTCTCATACAAAATTCCTACGTTTCGCCAATGTTAATGCGAGATCTCTTAAAAACAAAACAGCCGAAATCGTTGATCATGTTTTGAGCAACGATATTGATGTGTGTATTGTGACTGAGACCTGGTTAAAAGACGTTGACACTGTTAGCATAGCCGCGCTTTCTCCCCCTGGTTACTCTTTTAAAAACCTTCCTAGATAATCTAACAGAATGGGTGGAGGCACTGGCATTATGTTTAATACCAATTTTAAAGTTACTTTAATTGACGGAGGTGAAAAACGATCTTTTGAATACTCTGAATGGAACTTGGCTTTACTCAACCGTACGATTAAAACATTAGCAGTCTATCGTCCACCTTATTCACAAACTCACCCTGTTTCTTCAAGCGTTTTCTTCGAAGAATTCTCCAACTTACTGGAGAGCATTGTTATGTGCACAGAAGTATTAGTAATCTCCGGTGACTTTAATTTCCATCTCGATGATCCGTCTGATACTGACGCGAAAACATTTACTGATTTATTGGAAACCTTTGGCTTATTACAACATGTTACTGTACCAACTCACTCGTCTGGGCATACCCTGGATCTTCTAATTTCGAGATTATCCAATGACATTAATATTCACCTAGTCAAGACTACTTTCTTTTTGTCAGATCATTGTTTTGTTGAATGCAACCTCTCTTTTCCTCGCCCGAATCTTGTGACGAAGGAAATTCAGTTTCGTAAGACAAAGCATTTGAATCTTCAGGCCTTCAAAGCTGACATCACTGATTCCAAACTGTGTAATGACCCATGCTCCAATCTAGATGATTTGGTGAAACATTATGATAATACGCTATCACATATTTTGGAGAAACATGCCCCTTTACAAAGAAAGATAGTGGTTGTCAGACCAAGAGTACCATGGTTCAGTGAAGAACTTAAACGTATTAAGGCCAAACGCAGAAAACTGGAGAAAGTAATGCTACGATCAAATTGCCAAAATGATAAAGACGCTTATCGCCAAGCGCGTAACAAGTATGCTACCAGTTTGAAAAATGCTAGACATAAATACTATTCTGATCTTATCGATCAATGCTCGGGAGATTCAAGAAAACTTTTTAAGGTTGTGTCTTCACTTTGCAACACACCTCAAGAAAACTCCTTGCCTCCACATGATGATTCACGTAAACTGGCTGATGAGTTCGGAAAATATTTCTGTCGAAAGATTGAGCTAATTAGAAATGACATTGAAAACGTTGTAGTAGACCCACCATTAGTAGATTATCGTTTACCTGATATCAAATTAGACTCATTTAAGCTCCTGTCAGAAGAAGAAGTCCATAACATAATCATGAAGTCGTCGAATGCAACATGTAACCTTGATCCTATCCCAACATGGCTGCTGAAATTATGTGCCAGTGAGTTAACACCTGTCATTATGAAAATGATCAACTTGTCGTTAAGTGAAGGTCACCTCCCAGAAGCATGGAAAGTTGCCATTCTTATTCCAATTCTAAAAAAATACGGTCTTGATCTAGTCTTTGAGAACTTCAGGCCCGTCAGTAACCTGTCTTTCGTTTCTAAAGCCACGGAAAAAGCAGTTGTTAGCCAGTTATTTGAGCATTGTGCTGATAATGCTCCTCTTCCTAACAACCAATCGTCATATCGTCAATTTCACTCTACCGAAACAGCTCTCCTAAGAGTCCACAATGATATCCTTATGAACATGGACCAACAGAAAGTAACTCTTTTAGTGCTCTTGGATTTGAGTGCCGCCTTTGACACCATTGATCATGAAATTCTGATGGATATATTGAAGTTAGAATTTGGTGTGATCGGAAATGCCTTAAAGTGGATTAAGTCGTTTCTTTCCTGTAGAAAGCAGCGTATTAATATTAAGCAAAAGTTTTCCGCCAATTTTACGTTGAACTGTGGAGTACCACAAGGAAGCTGTCTTGGACCGGTCCTTTTCCTATTATACGTGTCTCAACTGTTCCAGATTATTAACAGGCACTTACCTTCTTCCCATGGGTATGCAGATGACACTCAACTTTATTTATCTTTCCGTCCTGAGTCACCCGTTGTCCAAGACCAAGCTATTCAAACTATTAATAATTGCATCGTCGAAGTTCGTGCTTGGTTAGTTTCACATAAATTAATGTTCAATGACACTAAAACGGAATTCTTGATAATTGGAACTCGCCAGCAGCTGTCTAAGGTTACAATCGACTCGATTGAAGTTGGTGATGCTGATATAAAACCTGTACAAGAAGTCCGAAATCTAGGTTCGTGGTTTGACGAACATATGTCGATGAATGTCCATGTGGGCAAGGTTTGCAGCAAAGCATTTAGGGGCTTGTACAACATCCGACAAATAAGGAAGTTTCTCTCCATCGAATCAACTAAAACGCTCGTACATGCCTTTGTGACGTCACACTTGGACTACTGCAATTCTTTCTTGTTCGGCATTCCCCAATACCAACTTCAGCGTCTTCAACGAGTTCTCAATGCCGCTGCTAGAGTGACGTGTCTTATACCAAGATGTGCTCATATTACCCCTGTCCTGATGCACCTTCACTGGCTGCCTGTCAAGTTTCGCGTTGATTTTAAAATTGCACTTCTGGTATATAAAGCCCTCCACGGGATGGCGCCAGGCTACATTATGGAACTGTTGTTAGAAAAACCGAACTGCTGTTACCAACTGAGATCTGATGATCAGGGACTACTTTTTATCCCAAAAACTAGAGCCAAGACTCTTGGTGATCGAGCATTTGTGCATGCAGCTCCGTCAATTTGGAACATGCTACCTTCTGGTATTAGAAATAGTAAAACAATTGACTGTTTTAAATCTCAATTAAAGACTTTCCTTTTTAAGAAAGCTTTCGATTCTAACTTTTAGATTTATAGACACCTATACCTTAATTCTTAATATTTTAGCTACTTGTATATAGTATAACCTCATTGTTGTAAAGCGCTTTGGAATATTTTATATAATTTAAGCGCTGTATAAATCTTTATATATTATTATTATATATATATATATATATATATATATATATATATATATATATATATATATATATATATATATATATATATATATATATATATATAGATATACATATAGAAGGGCCACTTACGTCGGAAGCTTTGAAGTTTCTGTCCTCGCGCATGTCGTATTACGCATATTGGCCGTCATTTTCCTAGCCAGTCAATGACATTTTCTGGCCAATAAACACGCTGTACTGGCTGGCTGCTACGCCTTCTGGCCAGTAAACTGCATATTTTTGCATAAAAAAACGCGGACACGTTGCACCGCTGAGTGGCCCTTCTGTTACTGATCTTTATTCTGCGGT